GTTAGACTTAAGTAGATCCTAATTAGGGTATGGGGCTCAGGGTCGACCTGTGATCTGGAGTATTGGCCCTGCCCTGCCTCTCCGCAAAATCAGTAGCCAGCCGACTCCCAGGCTTTGATGGTGACCTTCGAGACTCAGGCGACGGCGGCTCACCGCTCGATGGTTCTGTCGCAAAGCAATTCAGGAACGCTGTGCCACTACGCTTCACCACATACCATACCCGGCCGTTTCATGCTTATATATACACACACACACACACAGACAGACAGAGAGAAAGAGAGTTGCTTTAAGCTTTGGGCTGCCTGCACAATGTCTCCTTAGTAGTCTAACTGTCTATCCACCTTGTCTATGTTGCCCGAAAGCCCAAGCCCGAAATCCTGAACCCTAACCCCTAAGCCTAAACTACAAATTTGAAACCCTAAACCCTAAATCGTCTGCTGGTTGGGCTTGAAAAAACTCGGTTGCCTAGCCTGGAGTGTCCGAGTTGCACACCTTGAGCCCCAAATCGCCAAACCCTATGCAAAAGAAGCCTACATAATTACCAGGGTTTTAGGGTTTAGGGTTTAAGGTTTAGGGATTAGGGTTCAGCGTTTAGGGCTTAGGGTTTCAGGTAAGTACCAAGGTATTCTTCACGGTTCCTCAGTCTGACTGTGCCATACAGGGCCCGAAGAATGAAGGCACCGAGGATTTGACTTCAATCAAGCTCCCGACTGTGAAGGCAGTACCGTCGGGGCCTGCATAATTGGAAGCGGTGCAGGTATTGCTTAGGGTTCCCTAGTAGAAGTACACGTATAGTATATAGAATCACCACCAAAAGCTCATTCCGATGATGAAAACTCAAACCCTCAACACTGAACCCTAAACCCCTAAGCCCAAAACAACTAAACCCGAAACCCTGGACCATAAAATCCCAAAGCCCAAAACAACTAAACCCTCAACCCTGAGCCCTAAACCCCTAAGCCCAAAGCAACTAAACCCGAAACCCTGAACCCTCAACCCCTAAGCCCAAAACCCCCCAAAAAAAGCCCAAAACCCACTAAGCCCGAAACCCTGGGACAATCTGAAGCCAGAGACAGGTCATCCTCCTCGGCACCTGTCCATCCTTCCGCACCTGCCCGGGCCCCGACCGGGTCCGTTTTCTTGGATTCCTGTCTAAGGGTTTAGGGTTTTGGGGTAAACCCTAAACCCTAAACCCTCAACCCTGCAGTGCGACTTTGTCAGCGAAGTGGGCGGGAAAAAAACCCTAAACCCCTAAACCCCAAAACCCCTAAACCCCTAAACCCCAAACCCCTAAACCCTAAACCCTAAAACGCCCAGACCTTCGCCCACCTTCGCCCGAGGCTCGGCCCTCGAGGTGGCGGGCCGCCCCTGCCATCGGCCCTGCCACGCCGAGGCTCTCCGCAGAAAAAGAGGAGTGGGGGGGTGTTTGGGGTAGAGGGCCTAATTGGGGTTTAGGGGGGGTGTTTGGGGTGTAGGGTTTAGGGGTTTAGGGGTTTAGGGGATTAGTGTTTAGGATTTAGGGCTCAGGGTTTAGGGTTTAGCGATTGGGGATTATAGGGATTATAGGGTGTAGGGGTTTGGGGTATGGGGTTTAGGTGCTTAGGGCTTAGGGTCTAGGGGCTTGAGGGTTGGGGGATGTTGAAGGAATGCCTCCGAAACCCATAGGCCCTAGACCCTGAACTGCCAAGAGACACCTTAAACCCTGACCGACCCAAGGAAGCAAGAAAATTGAACCCGAAACCCCCAACCCTACCGAAGCTGAACATCCCTAAACCCTAAACCGTAATCCCTCTCTTCCCTATAATCCTTAATCCCTAGCTCAACCCTAAACCCTGAGCCCTAAACCCTAAACGCTACACGCTAAACCCTAAACCCCTAAACCCCTACACCCTAAGCCCTACACCCTGAACCCTACACCCTAAGCCCTGATCCCTACAAGCCTTATAAACCCTAAACCCTACACCCTAAACCCTATAAGCCTTATGAACCCAAAACCCTATACACCCTAAGCCCTACACCCGAAACCCTAAACCCAAAGCTTTCTGGCCTCGGTTTCAGGGCAGCGGATACTGCGGGCGACATACCCCGAAGTCGCAGGGCAACTTCCAGGCTCAAGGTTTTCGGGGTCTTTAGGTTTTTTTTAGGGTTTTTTTTTAAGGGTTTCTAGGGGTTTTAGGGGTTTTAGGAATTTTAGGGTTTAGGCTTTGGGGCTAGGGTTTAGGGTATATATGGTTCAGGCTTTCTGGTTTCGGGTTTAGGATTTATGGGTTTTGGGGTTTAGGGTTTGCGCGCAGTGCGAGTGAGATTGAGAGAGCGAGTTTTGGGGCTTCCCCTAAACCCTAAACCCAGGAGTAAAACGGGCTTAGGGTTTCGGGCCTTTCGGGTGTAAGTGTAGGGTCTCCGGTTTAGGGTTTAGCGTTGTCGGGCGCCGGTGATGGCCTTTGAAGCATTGATTCCAACGGCTTCGGCAGTGTCAGCATGTTCGAAAGTGCAGCCAGACACGTGAAATCAATATCGAAGCTTGAAGAACTGTTTCGCAAGATTTCAGTGCAGACTGAATTTTGTTAATGAAAGTCAGAATCTTACCGTTTCTGCTGCCGCCCCTCATGTCGTCGCAGAGAGTGTTTCCTTGTCTCACGGCCTTTGTGTTTGGTTTTGCCAGGCTACTCCTTGCCGAAAGCGGAAGAGGCCACCGCCGTCCTGACGGTAGCTTACGCTGAGATTTCTGGAAGAGCACGGGCGCAGTACCGGCCTCCACCCGGCTTGCTGTTTCTGCCCACAGGTAGAGCAGGAGAGAGCGAGAGAGAGAGAGAGAGATAAGAGACAAGAGAGAAAGAGAGAAATGAAAGGGAGCAACACGAGAGCGAGGCAAGGAAGAACTACGGAAAGGGAGAAAGTGGCCGAAAGTGAGGTTTCGAGGGCACTGAGGGCATGGACAAGGAGTTCATTGGGGCTGCAGGCCTTTTGCCCTTGGAGGCCTTTGGGTATTGTGCGAGGATGAGAGTCAACACCCCAAAGCTTGCAGCAGAAACCTATGCTACAGAGAGCAGCCAGCTGCAAACGCCCTTGGCCACCAACGCTGTCAAACCCAAACTCCTGAAGCAGGTGATGGTTCGACTGAGTGAGCAAGGGTTCTTGCTTTTTGCGCAGAGCACATGGAAGCGCCGAAGACCCCGACGTACACCCTGTCACTCCCAAGCTGATGCAGTTAACTCCAAGCCTCAGGCACACGGCTGTACTTGCAAATTCGAAAGACGGGCTTTGCAGGGGTGAGGCAAAGCGTCCGAAACAGCGCACTTGCCAGGCGTACCGAGATGGCTTACAGGCTTTGGCTTAACGACGCCAATAGGGGGTTATAACTTTATGTGCAAGATGTTTAACATACTTATATGGATGTAGAGGCACAAAGCAAACATGGAACTTCAAGATAGTCATACATACACACATACATACATACCTACATACCTACATACCTACCTACCTACCTACCTACCTACATACATACATACAGACAGACAGAGACAGACAGACAGACAGACAGACAGACAGACAGACAGACAGACAGACAGACAGACAGACAGACATACGTACATACGTACATACGCACATACATACATATGTACATACATACAACATTTGTACATACATACATACATACATACATAAATATACATACATGTACATACACATACATACAAATACATATACATACAAATACATACATATACATACATGCATGCATGCATGCATGCATGCATACATCCATACATGCATATACACATACATGTATATATATATATATGTACATATATATATGTATCCATGTATGTATATGTATGTATGTGTGTATGTATGTATGTATGTATGTATGTATGCATGCAGGTATGTATGTCTGTATATATGCATATACACATGTGTATGTAGATGCACCTGATATGCACATGCGCCCCCCAAGAGGATACCGCAGGTTCCCATGGCAGCGTTCTGACGTTCCATGCGGATACCAACACGGTGTATCACCTTATGCTGCTGCATGAACCGTCAACACTGCATCGGACAGCCATGTGTACTTTGCTGCACTGCTTTGTATGTATACTCAGTGCTTTGTTTTCGATCACCAGCTGCCCTAGGACATGTAGGAGCATTTGAGTACGGTACTGATGTATTTTCTTCTTGGTCCGGAGTATGTGGTTGTCTACTGTATTTCGGTTTTGGGGCACATCATGCTATACTGCTATGCCATGATGCACAGACTATTCGGGCTTATGCATGCGTGCCCGAAGAAGGTCTGTACATACACGCATGTACATACATACATACATATATATATATGTGTGTGTATACATATATATATATATGGAAGTAATTACATATGTAAATATATAAATATGTCACGCTCTCTCTCTATATGTATATATGTGTATACACGCATGGAGATATACAATTTTGTGATCGCACTAGATCGAACGTATACACCTGCTCTCGCATACTTTGATATGACTTCCAAAGTTGTTCTGTCGCATAATGTGCTGATGCATGTAACAGCATAAAATTGCCTGCCGTTGTACGGCAGTCCGGGCATTGCATGCCGGTATTGTGTACTGTATACACATGTTCCCTGAGCTTCAATTGCTCTTGTGCTTCATGTTTTTGATTGTTCGACTTGTGGGATACTTGTAATGCATGCCGTCGTCAAGTTTGCAGTTCATACATCCGTACACAGCTACGTGGCGAAATCGAGTTTGTTCATAGTTTTTGGTATATCGAGTTGCATGCCGTGGGTGACATATACAGGTGGTCGATTGCCGTGAAGACTTTAGCATTCTTCGCCTGATTGCATGGAGACTTCTGATTTCTGCGTAGTGCTACAAGGTGGTTATTGAACACTGATCTGGCAGATGGGGGGGCATAAGTTCAAGGGAGATCAGGAGGCCGAGGGATCTCCGGCACGAGCATCTCAAGTCCACAGCCTCTGAGCCCCCGCGCCGACCTGTGCCGCCATGTCGGTCACGTGTACCGAGACCTTGCCCACGCATTACAGAGGCTCCCTCAGCTCCGGCTCTCCGAGGTCCAACATAATCGGCCTCAGCCGCTCCCCTACCTTTGGGCTTGGGGACCCCTTCGAGGCAGAGAGCTCCGACTCTCGAGCTTCTCAGGTTGCTTTGGAGGAGCGGATGGCTCCCTTGCCATCGCTTGGCCTCGTGATGTACTCTGGGTTCCTGTCAACCTTGGCCTTAGACATCGTGGTCGCGACGGTCGACGAGTACTCCAGAAAACTCGGGGCAGGGGCGCTCTTCAGTGGACTTGTCATTGCGTTGACGCCTGTTCTCCAAGGCTTGATCGGGGTCCCTCTCAATCGCTGGATGTTGAAATCAGCTTCCATGAAGACGGTGAGTATTCTTATGGCTGCTGGTATGGTTGTGGGACATATCATCTACTCCCTTGCCGGGCTCATGCACTCGAAATTGGCCGTGCTGTTTGCTCGCGCTCTCATTGGCATTTGTCAGTTCCAATTGTTTGCACCCATCTACATTGCAGATGCTGTGGGTGTCAAGAGGCGAACACCGGTGTTGTTTGTGTATTCTGCAGTCGCGACTTCGGCGCTGGCAGTGGCCCCGGCCATTTGCGGTTTGCTGGAAACCTTCCTGCATGAGCTGCGGGTTCATAATCTTGTGCTGGACTCCGACACAGCCCCCGGTTGGTTCATGGCGATTGTATACTTTTTGTACTTGTTGAAGGTGGTCTTTTTCTTCGAGGACCCAGAAAAGGTGCGCTCACCGGAAACGAGCCATGCTACTGCATCCCCGGTCGAGGAGCGGGAGTCACTGTGGACGACTGGCATCCTTCTGTGCCTCTTAGCAGGCTTTGCGAGCACTATGACGAACATCGGGTGCATCTGGGTTCCTGTTAAAGGGCTTTTTTAAGTTATCCTAATATGCCATCATAGGGATCTATAGTGAAAAACTATGGTTTCCTGATAATGATAATCCCTTAACAAGATCCCAGGCATGGTCTACTTCACGCAACTGTCGCAGCACACTTGGCACTGGAGCGTGGCAAGGAGTTCCTGGGCTCTTGCAGGGCTCATGGCGGTCGTGTGCGTGCTGTCGCTGGGGAGCAGCCGGCTCGTGAAGCTCGTGGAGGACAGGAAGGGCCTCCAGCTGAGCACGCTCTCCACTGCGATCATCTCCACACTTGCTTTGCACTTCTCGTCGAGCTGGTCCGCGGCCACGATGACATTGACCTTCGTTGGCCTGTTGCTCCTCCAGGCTACCAGCTGTGTGGTCAAGAGCTACGCCTATGCACTCACGCCGAAGATCGTGGCTCCGCACTTGAAGGACTGGGTTCTTGCTAGGGGATTTAACTTAAGTTACCATATTATTTACTATGGAATCTATAGATCCCTATTATGGTAACTTAAATACATTAAACTAATCTTTCAACAAGATCCCAGAGGATCGAGCCGCATCTTGGCTGCTTCTGGCTCTGACCCTGGGCCGAGGGGTTGGGGCGCAAGTTGGGGTGACCTCCGCTGCACCTCGGGAAGCTTGTGAAATAGGACCCTTTCTGGTTCCTAGAGCTATTCATAAAAGCTTCTTTTCAGGGCCACAGAAGCTACAACCCAGGTGATCTTCACTCCCGTGTCCTTTGCGTTCACCATGCTGGGCACGTACCTTTTGCTCTTTGCCCTCGTTTCCGTCTTCCGATCTCGGATGAAGCAGCACGCCAAGGCCGTGTAATCACACCCTGGGCTCCGGAAATTCGCTTTCGTTTTTTTCATTGTACAGCCCGCATGTCCGAAGAAGTCAGAAGGGCATGTGGGGAGTTGTCCAAACTGGGGCCCCTCTTAGGGTCTTGATTGTCAGAGTGATGTGTTCTTTTGGAGATCCGAGAAGGGACCCGAAGCTTGGAGAAGGACATCTCGGCTTTCCGTGGCCGCAGTGGCTCGAGCTTTTGGGCCGCAGGGATGTGCGCGAGAGTCTCACTCTCAAGCTGAGGATTGTACAGCGCTCACCATGCCATGGACGGGCAAAAACCACCGCTGGCCTGCGCTGCTGCATGACGCGGTTTTGTGTCCCGATGCCCAGATCTTTGTCGGGTGGCTGCTTCAGATCGGACGTGAAGTCTTGAGTTTCACCCCAACAAGCAAGAGTCGCTGGTAGTTGTCGGTCCTGATGCTGCTGCTGCTGCTGCTGCCCTGCAATGTGGGTCTCTATCTGTCAAAAGTAGAACCCTGGCCACTGACTGACTTCGGGCTGCCGCTATGTCCCCAAGGTCTCTGCTACGCAGCATCTAGTGAGGGCCCCTCGGTAGCAGGATGCCCTTTTGAGTATGTCGTGCGTCTAGCTCAGGTTGAGGATTCTGGGAAGGGCTGCTGCAAACAACAGTCCTTTTGCATTGCGTTACACGACGTCCTCTTCCGCAGCACCAAGGCACCAGCTTGACACCGTAGTTCGGGTGGCACTTTCTTTTTTATGGAACACATTGTTGGCTTCGCGCAAACCTCCAACACTTCGGGAGTCTTGGGTCGAAGTGCCAGGGGTGCTTGAAGCCCCTCAGAATTTGTTCCAACATATCTGCGCTTGCCATGGCGGCAGCATGAAAGCCCGCTGCCAGGTGCGCTCAGTTGCCGACAACGCCTTACAAGTCCTCTAGACCATAGGCCCCTATAGGAGCCCTCGCGGGACGGGAACCCCTTTTAACAGCAACCCCAAGCTTTAGCTTTGGACCCGAACTGGATTCGCATCCTCGGAGTTCAGCCGCCGCAGCCTGCAATTTTTGTCAGGAGTTGTCCTTGCCAAAGGAATCAACAAACTCCCGGATTCTACTAGCTGGAGTATCCATGAAGCTCGTATCCTAAACTCTGGGAATCACGGTGTGTTCGAGATCTTGGTTCCAGATACTTCGGGATTTTCGCATCAGCACAGGACTGCGGCCTGAAGATTTCTGAGGCGGTCGGGCCGGGATGCGCGTGTTTCTTGCTTCAGAGGTCTCTAGCAGCTTGGGCATCGTATCAGTCCAGCCGGCTTTGTACCACGAGGGGGTGGCAGCTCTTGTTTGTGGTAAGTCCAGCAGTCAAGCGCTCGCCCCAAGAGGGCACACGGACCGTTTAGGGTTTGGGGGCGTTTTTCCAGAGAGCGAGGCGCCCAGCCTGCACCACTGCAGGGCAGCAATCGCCGCAGGCCGGCGAGGTTCTGCACTTTTGCACATGGGATGCGTCCGGATGAGAGCATACCCTCAACCTCATGGTGTGTACCCCGTTACCGAGAGGTGAGATGTGCCCTGAATTGTGAACCGCTAGCCCACTGCTTGAAACCTCGTTTCCGAAACCCATGCTGTTACTCGTTTTGGTTTCCAGCCTTCGGGCAATTTGGATCTTGGCTGGAGGGTCAAGCGAACCTTAAAGCTTTAAACTTTAAGATGCCCTCATACCCTGAACCCGCGCCCTAAACACCAGACCCTCCAATCCCTAAGCCCGAAGTCTGCAGCACACTGAAGAATGAATGTTGTTCGGTCAATGACTGCCTTCCTGCAGATGCCTCGCCTGGATGCGTCCGAGAGTGAGAGTCCAACCCGCGGTTTGTGGTTTAGGGGATCAGGGCTGGGGGTTTTGGGGTTTAGGGTTCAGGGTTTAGGGTTTTTGGCTTAGGGTTTAGGGAACCTGACAGGTTCTTTGCTGAAGCAGGTCAGGTGCTTTCGGATTTCGCGGGAAACGCCAGATGGACTTGGCTTTGTCCAGGGTGCCTTCACGCCCCGAGACACACCGTGCCGGTACCATGAAGTTCTAGTTCCCTTGAACGTTTTCATTGCTCTTATGGGTACCCTTATCGTAACCCTTATCGAAACCATTCTAGAAAGACTGAGATATTATACTTCTCTCGGACCCTTCGTTTACTGGGGTGGCTCAGGGTCTGACGATGTCGCGGTTCTCATGCACCACGTTTTAGTTTGGAGCTCAGGCTTCCCGGTTCAGCGTTTTCGGCCTTGGAGTTTCTAGTTTCGGGTTTACGGTTCTTGATAGGGTTTCCAGTTCAGGGCTTAGGCTTGAAGTTTGGGGCTCGGGCTTTCGGGTAGGGGGTTTAGGGTCAACGTGTGATCGGTGGAAGTTTTGCCGCGTCTCTGAGCCTTAAACGGCCCTAAACCTAAAGCCGGAATCCCAAACCCTAAATCGTTCAGTTGCGGGTGACCTTCGAGACTCAGGCGACTGCAGCTCACTGCCCGATGACGACAATATAGTATATTGATATTGTACTATACTGCACTAGACTGGACTACTCTGCGTAGCAAAATGACGGAGTCGAGTTGGATTTGAGATGTGTCGTTGCCTTGCAACCGTGATCCTCAGCCCTAAGCCCTAAAACCCTCGTTACACTAAGCCCAGAAGCCAGGGGCCGTTTGAAGATAATTGGAGGGTTGGTTTGAAATTCATGGCCCAAAGCCCCAAAGCCCCGGCCATAGTCTTTTCGGGGGTCGTGCCCGTGGGCCCGTGTGCCTGTGAGCCCGCGGCGGGCCCGTGGGCCCGTTGGTCATGGGCAGAGCGAGGGATGCGCAGGCAAGAATAGTTGCAAGCTGAGGACAAGTTGAGTTTTTCTATCCTTGTTAGTTACAACGTCCCACGTCCATGCTCGGGATGTTGACATTGCTACCGGAAGGTTGGAAAGCGTGAGGGTTGGATCCCTTGTCAGGCCACTTGTGCAGGGTACTGGACATGCATGCTGGAGTTCAGAAGTCCTTGTGAGTTTGCGAGGTGCTTTTCTCCACTGCATGCTACTGTTCCAGTCCGACATCACCACTGGCACTCCATTCTTCTAGTCCGAAATCCCCTTCGCATGTCACTGTTCTTGTCCGAACTCCCGATTCGCAGCATTTGTAGTTCTGCGTTCCTGTGGCTCCTGCAGTCGATGTACAAAGGCACCCCAGGACCGTGACACGAGTCAGTGGTGTGACCCCATGGATCATCGACTGATCTGAATCGAGCACTCGTGTGTTGTTATGTGTACGGGACCCCACGTCCGTAACGCCAGCCACTGGTGTGACCCCATGGATCATCGACTAACATGAAGCGAGCACTCGAGCGCTTACGCCTCCCGATGCTTCTGTACATAGGCGCGTTTGTGTTGGCNNCTCCCTCCCAACCCGCCCCCCGCCCCCCTGGTTTCTAGGGTTGCGATTTGCGTGTGGGGGTGGTTTCTTTTCAGGGTCTTTTCAGGGTGGTTTAGGACATATGGCCGAGGTCCCCAAATTTTAGGGGAAACCCGGCTTAGGGTTTAGGGTGCCTTGCTCCCCAAGACAGGGGTCGGCGGGCACGTAGGGTTTAGGGCCCAGCGTTTAGTCTTATTTCGTGTTTTTAGGTCCCCTAATCAGGGGAAGCTGGGCTTGGGGGTTAGGTTAGTGCTAGGTTAGGTTGTTTCCCCTCCCCCCCCCACCGGGCCCCCACGCCGAGCGTAATGACGTCCATGTTCCGGGAACAGATCATCCCTGGCCCAACCTTGATGACATCCACACTGGGTTTTCGCATATACTCATATGTATGTTGGCCACTTGTCATTGTTTAATGAGGAACCCACCGTGCGCAGGGCATGCGACATTTTTTGTCCACGCCGTGAACACTCCAAACATGCATGTGCCCTTGCGGACTGACTGAAGTGAAGTTTCACTGTTGTTGGGCTGACATCGCCCCGCCTGGAGACTTCACTCCCATGCCGTGTGCCGCAGGGCTTGCGGCGACTTGTACCCCGGCTGGGGCGACTAAAACGTAGTGTTAGTACCACTACTCCCGTGTACCACTACTTGTAATCGGTTCTATAGCGGCCCATGGGGCCGGTGGCTGACCCGTGTGCCCGTGAGCCGGTGGGCCCGCGGGCCCGTTGGTCTTAGTATAACTGGGCTGTCCCTGGGAACGGCCCTTCTCAAAGCCCCGGGGCCCAAACACGAAACCTTAAAGAGTAAGCCAGTTGATCTTGAAGAAGCCGTTGTGGCTCGCTTTCATGGAGTGTCCAAGTTGCAACCCTTTTTTGGAGGCAAAAATCGAAAACCCTAGAAACTGCGCAGGCCATCCAGCTGAGTTGGACTAACCTAGGGCCCTCTGGGAATCTGCTTGCTCTCGATAATATTCCCCCAGCTCAATGAAACCCTCAACCGTAAGCCTTAAAAACCCTAAGCCCTAAACCCTAAACCCTTATAAAGCCTTCGCCCCAAGCCTTGACTTCAAACAAAAGCCTCCGACTGGAAAGGCAGTACTGTCGGGGCCTGCTTGAATAGAAGTAGTACAGGTCTTGCTCAGGGTTCCCTCGTGGAAGTAAAAGTATGGCACATAGAATCTACCCCCCACAAGCTTATTCAGATAATTCAGGGGCAGTCTCCAGAACTTACCCAAAAAGCTTACGCTGATTATGAAAACCTTGGAAAATCCGAAAGGTCATCCTCCTCAGTACTTATCCATCCTTCCGCACCTGCCCGGGCCCCGACAGGGTCCTGTTTTGGGATTCCCTTACCCCCCCAAACCAAAACCTGAAACCTAAATGATGTACAAAAAGCTTAACCCCTCAAGCCTTGAACCCATAAGCCCCTAAATTTATAGTAACCTTATAGTAACTCTTTTACAAAAGCCCTTCGCCCTACACCCCTGCACTTTATGGCAACCCTTCTAGTAACCCTTTACATTCCAAGGATCCCCACGGCCTAAAAGCCCGAAACCCTAAACCCCAGAGCTCTAAACCCGAAACCCCCAAACCCGAAG